CATGATGGATATTCATCAACGAGTTCCGTTGTTTTCCAATGTTTGATTTCAACATTTCAACATACAAGGGCCATAGATTATGGATTTAATTTATATGGTGATTTTAGCCGAAACTGCCAATGATGGTGGCGACAATTTAATAAGTGGGTATATATGAATACATATGTCGATGTTTGCATTAGTACGATGAATGACAAAACGACGAAATTTTCCCCCCACCACTTCCACAATAACACCAATACACGCAATCTACATAAACCCAAATTTTTAAAACATTAATCAGTTTGTCTGACGATCGCTAAAGCGTGAAACCCAGGGTCACAAACTCACATCTATCCAACCAAATATATATATATATATATATATACACACTGAATTTCTTTATTAATAATTATGTTTAAATTACCTCTGTGTGTGTGTGTGCGTGTGCGTGTGCGTGTGTGTGTGTGTGTGTGTGTGTGTGTGTTAATGTGCGGACAGTGAAAAGTTATTGGCGCGGAAAACAGAATGGTCGATTCTGTTTCTTTTACTTGGAATACGCCTTCTTCCATCTTTGGGTTAAATTGCAAAGTAAAGTAGTCTCTCTCTTCGACGGGGTTTGCAGGCAGCCAATGAGAAGGAAAACTCTGAGTTCAAACCAGAGGAGGGCTGTTTAGAAATAATATGCATGGCTTTAAAGGTTCTTCAGAACAATGCATTTGCTTCTACACAAAATTTCAGCACTATAAGCAAATCATGTCTGTAGGTAGTCTCGTGCTTTAGTTTTAGAAATAAAAGAAAAAATGAAACTGTTAAATTGTAATACGTCGAAATTGATGAAAGAGTCCACTATGTGGGAGTATATATATATATATATATATATATATATATATATATATATATAGCGAGTGAGAGAGAGAGAGAAATATACACACACGCACACACCCACACACACGAGGTGTGCTAAATACTTCTTGGATAGACTTAGATGCCCTTCCCCAAATATCTGACTTTTGCTAATTTGATGACATAGATTTTGTGAAAAAGGTCTTGCTATGAACTTTTTAGCACGTCCTGGTATATGGCGAGTTTCTAAGCGTAGATGTGGCACAAGATCAAAAGTATAGAGCACCCAAGGAAGATCGAACGCACTACTCAGTTGTAATTATTCTAGCGAGACAAGCTTGCTAACCATTACACCACTCCAAGGTACCTATTTCTGTGTATATGTGTGTGAAAAAATCATTGATCAACTGAAAAATATTTCGTTTCGTGTCTTTGTATTTTTTTATTGAAATACATTACAAGGTAAATATAATGTAATAATTCCTTTATTAATTTAATGCCATTCTCATAATGCTATCCTTATTCATGCATAAGTTTATTATTCATTTTTTTCTAAATAAAAATAAAATATATCTTTAATTACTAACAAATTTAAACTTGGTTAACTACAAAATTACCATGTGAAACAGTTCACTCTCATAAAACATATTTATTTGATATGTAAAAATTTACCAATGTTTTCGTTAAAGTAAATAAGCTTGATATTTTTTCATTTTAGTTAATTTCCATAATTTTCAGACTTGACAGTTTTCAGTTTTTTTTATAGTTTTAATTTTCTTGTATAGTAAAGTGTTTCAGGACTGATAAATATTTACTAATAGATGTGTATACTTCCAGGACAGACTCCGCAAATGTAAGCCTAATTTTGACAAACTTTTGTACCCATATCAGCAAAATTATCTAATAGATAATTTCAGCAAGCAAAGAACTAACCATCAATTGTAAGAAGACGGAATGTATGGTAGTTGACAAGAGTTACAGCCTATGATGTAAGCTACGAACTAAAGGCGTTAAAATCAAGCAAGAACAGAAATTTAATTATCTGGGATGACGGAAAATGTGACACAGAAGGCGCATTAAAATAGTGCAAGTTAATTTCCAAAAGCTAAACAAAGAATTATAAGAAATTATTAAGAAACAAGGAATTTGAAAAGAAAAAAACAAAGAGAAGAGTGCTGAACTGTCGTGGTTTATCACTCCTCCTATATGGCAGTGAATGCTGGGCAATTTTCTCACAGATGAAAAACTTCAGCCAATTATCGTGGTTCTACATAAGAATACTGAGAATACTATGGATGGATCATGTGAGCAACGAGGAAGTTTTAAGGCAAATGAAAACTGAAAATATGACATTTGTACTTAAAATCAGAAAGAGAAAAGTGGAGAAATATCTGGAATACATAATGAGGAAAGAAGACTAGGAGAATTTAACACGTACTGGACATACTGCATGCACTAGGGGCAAAGGGAAACAGCAAGCAACATACCTAACAAGTTTTTATAAATGAATGACAGATCAGGGACTTGGTGGGGGTTGGGTAGTAATGCAACTACAAAGAATAGATCGTTCTTGTCCGGAGGCACACGGAACATAAAAGAAATTTGTTCACGCGCATGCGCGTGTGTGTGTGTGTACCGTTAGTTATTAATATTATACAAAGTGCCAAAAATTTACAAACAGCGTTAAATGTTTTCGCTTTCTCCACACGTAGAAATGATGACGTGTAATGTAATTGATTAAGAAGTAATGTAGCTTTAGCAAAATGTAGCTGATACAGCCATAGAACAGATACTAACACTGCAGAATGACCACTGGGACAAAAACATGTCTCACTATATCCACCAAGTTGTCGACTCGGGTAGCAATAGCACGAGTATACCAGCATTATATGTGAATTCCGCATAAAAATATCATCGGTACGTGAAAAGTGCAGGCACCTGTACAAGTGATGCAACAATGGGACAACCGGTGGTTGACAATAAATGGTAACCACGTTGTGAAGTGGAACATTACATCGCATCCCAGACAAACCATCAGATAATGTAGTTTTGTAGTCGTCGACCAACAAAGGTAGCATTTTGACAACAATAGCATTGATGACAGTGCCTAATTTTGGTTAGAGAACAACACTATTGAACAGTGGAAAACTGGCAGTTGGTCACTTTTTCAAACGAATTACGTTCCTAGCTGTTTTGAGCAGATGGTCGAGCTCGTGTGTCGAGGAGATCACATAAATCTATGAAACCAACTTATCTAAAATGGTGTGAGGCGTATTCTCTTAGAATTCACAAGGAGCACTACTGAAACTGGAGTCTGTCTTCATAAGTGTGATATATGCTTACCATGTTTCCCGAGGATATAGTTTGTTCCATTAAGATAATACAACCCATCGCCTTTGTGTGGGTGACATGAAACTGGTTCTCAGAAGACTCAGGTACTCGAATAGTTCCTATACTCGCTAGATTCAAAGCCCATTGCGACTTTTTGCAGACCTCACTAAATTCCATGCAGCCACACCCAACAAACGCAACACCGTTATGAACAGCCCTTAAAAATTAATATTAATATTATTTCAACATTTAGTAGACGTCATGCCATGTCACGTAGCCACCATTATTCAGGTAAAGGGAAGAGTTGCTGCTAATTTTTGGTACCTCATTTTAATCGCCAATATATTTCAATAGAAACTGATTTTTTTTACTTTCACGTGTTGTTGTATTTTTTTATCTTCTGTTAATTTTAATTCAGCTTTTAATTAAGAGTGCCCTAAGTAACCAAGTTTTTCGTTGATATTTCCTGTCATGCGCATATCCTTTTTCCATTATTCAGAAAAATAGTCATAATTAACCTAGTAATATGAAGACAGTCACACTTAACGGAAACAAGTAAAAATCTGAGTCGATTTATAGCTGTCAAAATTGAAATTAAGTATTTTACGGAATAGTTACTGTCCTTTGATGTTGAAAGCATGAACAATAAGTGTAGGCGTATGTTTATATGTTGATCTGATTTGAAGCTCATGAATATTTAGCAAGTATCACATATGATAAAATGAAATTCTTCTTACTAACCCAAAATATTTATCCAATTTTCATTTTTTGGGTTACATTCATTTCAGAGGTAATTTGTGTTAATGGTGGGAATGACTAGTTTTCGAAAACTTAAGCCATTTGACAAAACATTTTTATTACTTCGACATCGCTTCAGATTTCGTTTCATCAATTATATTCTAATTTTTGTTATTCTATTTTCCTAAAAATCAACAACTTGAAAATCAATTTTCCTGAACTTCAGAAATAAGAAGTTTTACATTTTACAAAGGGATTCATTAAACTTTTTAATAAACATTTTGGCAAAAAGGGGCTGAACAAATGTTTTGAGTCGGTTTGTAGAAAATTATATAAATTCTATCTACATCAACATATATATATATATATATATGTATGTGTGTGTGTGTGTGTGTGTGTGTGACAAAATATATATTACTAAAATGTGTTGTGTATCAACTCACTACAACTCATGCTTTGCGCATTCTTCAAGAGGTAGGAATCTGAAAAAGTTTATCATGAGATTTGTTTTATATTGTAAGCGTTTTAGCTTATTCTTTATTAAGAGAGTGTATATATATATATATATATATGTGTGTGTGTGTGTGTGTGCGTGCGTGTGTGTGTGTGTGCGTATGTGTGTGTGTGAGAGAGAGAGAGAGGAGGGAGAAAGATATATATATATATATGTAACTAGAGAAAGTGAAAATGAGAGATGGGTAATTGAGAGAGAAAGATAATTCGCCTGAATTTAGACAAATAATATTTCTAATATTATCTTACTTTCAGTGGATCACCTTAAGGAGATCAGCTAAAGTTGAATATAGAATTATTCGATGTAACTAAGACCGTCGTTAAGGATGGAGGGCTAGGGGGCCCTATCCACCCTCCAGAAACTCATTCTCTCTCACCCCGCTGTGAAAATGATGTGAACTAATTTTAGTGTACAAATTCGTACTCGCGACCCCATCACTTAAATACCGGTAACCCCACTGATCGCACTCTGATGACCGGCTTGGATATAAAAAAAATTCCAAAACCAGAAATAAAACCCTATAATTTGCGGCAATTGCATCATTTAAAATATCTTCTAAAACAGTCATGAGATCAAAAGCTTATATTCGATTCTAAGTGTGATAATTTATAGCGGAGATAGATAGATAGATAGATAGATAGATAGATAGATAGATGTTTTCGCAAATGATTACTTTATATGCTTAACGATAATTAAACACGGTTGCATAGTTTTAACGCATTCCGTTTGCAAGACAAATCGATATAGACATTTAATATAATTCAATAGCCGTTTTTTAAGTTGAACTTCGAATATAAACTAATGATAAACTACAAAAACACGCGTGTACATAAAGAAAAGATCTCGATATTTTGTTAGGCGCTTCGTCGATTCCTCAGCCCTTTGTATTTAAACGTTTAAAACCATAGAAACTAAAGTTACATGCTGATTACTTAACATTGATCAAGAAAATCAAACGAAGAATATATCAATACAAGTTTTGTGTTGTTTTTATACGTTTATATGCGCGCTCGCCTCAAACCCTCGAATCAAATATCTAAAGGGAGACAACAACAACGAAACCATTCTATCTTTAGGCATTGATATGCAGTGGATAGCTAAACATTTAATTTATAGCAAAGAATATAAATTTAAACCTGCTGTAAACCACCCATGATATGTAAGATATTTGCATTTTTATTTTGTAAATATGAAAAACAAAATATTTCTTTAGACTATAAATGTCTGTTCAACCATATTGATTTAAAGTCAAAATTATTATTGCGTTTAAAGGGAGTTAACTGAATATTACAAAAAATATGCAAGAAAATTCAGTCAGGCGTGGATATTGGTATTTATAGGTACATTTTTCTAAATATAGATATTACTCAATTTATTTTGTCATATATGAAAATATATGTTCATATGAGTAGTATATTTTATAAGTTTATAAGAAAGACTAAAAGATTAGTCAAACTAAACTGATTTTAATGTATAATTTAAAATTCACTAATCATTAATAATTGAATTGATTATCATTTACCATAAGCACAATAAAAACTATAACATTTTTATCTCCAAAAATGAGAATTTCAAAAGCCATTTCGATTATCACTCAATTTAAAATAAAAAATCAATTATACAATAATTTTCTTCAAAACAGCAACAGTTTTTGATTTTATCTGCTCATTACATTTTTTTTTATTTTTGCAATGGAGCGTTTCGATTTTCTAGATTTAGATAAAGATATTTGAATGAGAAAATGTCAAAATATTTTTGACCAACGTAAATTTTATGATAGACCACGGCTATAAATTAGATATAACAGCTTATATATAGATATATACATACGTATACATACATATATGTGTAGAGTATACTTGCATGCATGTGTATGAGTAAGTGAATGACAAAACGGAAAACCCTTTTAGTGGCGCGTTGAATCGCATAAAAAACATTTAGTAGAATAAAAAAAACTAAGCATACTATACCGAAAAGCTGTCCTTATCAATAAACAAAATTATAAGGATTTGCTGACTTATTACAAGCCAATGTTATTTCACTTTCAGCAATAATTTTTATAAAGAAAAATTTGAATCTCCTCTTCGCATTTTTAACTTGTCTTTTAATAGAATTTCTAGAAACTGGCCCTTTCCAATATATCGTACATAAGTCGATGCTGTATTGATATAAAAACAATTAGATCTGATTTTCTAAATAAGAAAACTACAGTGAACATACAATGGAATTTACTTCTGAAACAGAAACAATCCATTTCCTTTCTTCGATATCATGTTAAAGAACACTGATAAGAATATAAAACTACCGAAAACACAGTAACAAAAATATATCTTAATTGTTCCATAATATAAAGAGGAAAATGTATACAATCCGCAAGACAAAACAAAAAAAAAACAACACAAATAGCACAATAAAATTCGACACACAAAACTAACTAGCAATTCGATAACGACTACAAGTGAAAATAATTTACCTAAACTTAGTATAAAAATTATTACAACTATTTCAAAAACAATATGAGATTTAATTAGCATAAAACCTAAAGCAGAAATTAACACAAAATGTCCCAAGAAATACATAGGAGCAACATTTACGAATTTAAATAAAAAATTGTGGTAATATAAAAGATATATTTTACAAGACAATTTACTCAATTTATTAGTCGCAATAGGTTTGGCCATAATTTCGACTCAGCATTCAGTTTTAATGAAAAGTGGAAGTAATTAATTACGGCAAAATGAATTGCAGGTGCACTAATTTCGGAATCCTCTACGGTAAATTTGAACCAGGGATTAAATAACATATAGACTGGCCCCATCAATAAAACCATTAGTTTGCAAGAAGTTTGTTGATCACCTCAATAGGAAAAACCTCTTGAGCGAGAAACAAGTGAAGAGTCCAAAAGCGTCGTCTCCTTGTCGGTGACGAATTATTTTCCACACTACAACCTCTCTCTCACAGGCGGGATTGTGATAAACCTCTCACAACTTTATCGCTACTTCCATGGAAAAGTGCTAGGACGAACTACATTCCTTAGTATCACCAGTTCTAACCCTCACGGCTTAGTATCCGCCATGCTACGCGCATTGTAGCGAACCACTCTGATTCCCCTTCGTATTCCATTGGTGAGATGTAAGTTCATCTCGAGCAGCTTCTTCTCACGAACCAGTGCGTTGTGGAACCGACTTCTATGAGGATGCTTCCCCTAACATACCTGTTAAAGTCTAAGGTCAACTGTTATCTTTCCCACATATCAGCATAAACTATGTCACTTTCTCTGTAACACTCTACCTCGAGTGACTCTCATGGCTTGTACAAGATGAACATCATTGTAAAGATGTTTCTTTTCTGAACTTTCTTTTCGCTAACAGTTTTTCGATTTGCCATTCGTTTACTTACTATTAATCATATATATATATATATATATATATATATATATATATATATATATATATATATATATATATATATATATATATATATATATATATATATATATATATATATATATATATATATAATATAATAATAAATAAGCAAATATATATATATATATATATATATATATATATATATATGTTTGTGTGTGTGTTATATCTTCTCTTACGGTGCACACATCATCCCTTCAGTTTCCTTTTACAAGAGCTCCTTCCTAAGTCACCTCCATGATTCCGGTTCTTTTGGGCTTCTTGTGCAAATTCTCCGCGTAGGGACTTTTCATTCCATGCTTCGACTTTCTTATCATAAATTCCCCATCTGCCAACCTGCTTCCACAATGACGTTTTCATTTAGTGCACCTCTTAGCATACACTCCTGCCTTTTCTGTAAGTATTCATACAAGCGCTTACATTCTGATGTGACGAACTCTTCTACCCATATCAAACTTTTCCCCCTTTTTTCAGTGTTGGTAACGCTTGGCGACATTACTCGGGGGATATAAACACCTGTTTGTAGTCATTTCGGTTCATTCAACAATGTCTGAACCATACTTTATAACCGCGATTGTCCAAGCATTGATGCCTGAAAACAAATTTTACTATCTTCACAAATGATATATCAATTGATTATATATTTATAGCGTTGTCATCTTTTAATTAATTTTTATTTAATTGGAGCATATGTGCTTACAGTAAAATAATTTGATAATATTTTTGTGGTTTAAATAGTGTTTATTATGATTAACTATGGGTAAAATAAATTTTCCATTGATGATGTGATTAGGAAAGACATTATTACTACGTGTCTCACATTAGATCATTCTTTACAAAATATTTTTCTAAAGAGATTCATTTTGCCCGATTCATGAGATTTTTTATAACTGTTATCTTTAGAATTATAGAATATGGATTTAATGCTGGTGCTGTTTTAGGGTTCTTTGTATGCTGAAGTAATAAAGTTTTGTGGAAAGGCATTTTAATTGATTGGTATGTAAAACACACACATATATATATATATATATATATATATATATATATATATATATATATATATATATATATATATATAAATCGATTTTGTCTGATGAAAAATGTTATTTTCGAGGTTTGCTTTATAATTATTTGAGCATATGTGTGTATGTGTGTGTGTGTTAGATTCTATTAGACAAATCAATGTTTTCACAATTAAATTAGTATTAACCAACTTATGTTAGACACATGTTTAGAATTTACTTAGATTTTTATGAGCAATAAACCGTATGGATTTCATCATATAGTATTTATCATATTAAAAAGATATTCCTAATACCTTGTTTGGAGCGTGCGTCAAGTTTTATTATGCAAGCAAACTAAGTGTAATTGATTTTATTAAATGTTCTATTGTTTCAGCTTTAACAATACTGTAATCTAACAATTAACTTTAACAATTTGTAATGCAACCCAGAGATCTTCTTTGCATAGATATTGTTTTCCATTCTCATATACATCTCTTTTAATGGTAGATCACAGCTTTTTTATTGGATTAATATTTATTGAATTAATCTGATGTTTTTGAACATTTTTGAATCTTTCTATTGATTTAAAAAAAAAAGTTTTGGCAAGATGAGTAAACATCACTCATGCAGGAAGCGAAGAGAATCATTATCTCGCATGAATATCATTTTCAGCTTAAGGCTTATTACTTATTCCATTCAAAAAAACCATAAAAATCAACTTTGAATTATACTACTGACCATATGGAACTAAAACATTCCACTCTTGTTGGATAGGAAGTCCCCAGCCATCAGCTCCTTCCAATGTAGTTCTACATTCATTACTAGAAATTACAGTTTACAAATCAGTTTTCATGATCCTCGCTCAACTTCCATGTTTCTCTTTGTGATATTAACTTAAATACAACAGTTGGGTTGCATCTATCTTCTTTAGCTAATGTTCTTAATATTCGTCATCATTTCTTGCTATTCACATTCGCAACACCAACTTATGAAATTTTCTTATTCGTTAATCCACTTTTCTTACTTTTCACCCTTTTAATCTTTTCCAATCACTATTTCTTATATTCTTAAGGTTAGTTTTTAGTTCTTGCAAAAGTTTTCAGTTTTATTTTTATTGTTCTATCTTTAATTTTTGTCGAAATTTCCAATGTTGTGTCATTAAATTACATCATGTTTTTCTTTTAATTTTATATTTTTCTTATGATTCATGGCTATCATTACAATTTTGACATTAAAAGTAAATATCAATAACCATACTATTATATATCTATATTTATTATAAAACGAACAAATTTCAATTTACGTGATAAAATATTAAAACACCAAATAAGTTTTTCCAAATAGTTCTAACAAAAAAGAGATATTGTAAGCTACAGTTCACGTGATATATTTATCATATATATTTAGCATATATATTTATCATATATATGTATAAGTATACCTCAAATAACTATACCCCAAAATCGTTTTTTTTAATACGAGATTTTATTATATAACATTAAGAGGCATGACAATAGTGAATACGTATTGTAAAGTCAGTTAAATTCGTGACACAAATACATTAGTTTAAAAATAGAAATACTTAATTGATATATTCTCTAAGTCAGTGATTTATAACCGCCATACAGCGGCATACTAGAATGCTGCGCGATCCTCTTTAACGTGCCGCGAAATATTCTCACGGTGTACATATATATGCGTGTCTGGAAGTGGTTCTGCTACAGCGTTAGTATTTGAATAAATGAATAAGCAATAAACTTTTTAAAAAAATAATTCTTTACACTATTCTTCGATTATGTTATTTTAAATACTTGTGTTAATATTCATTTTTTAAAATAACCTTTAAAATTTTGCTAAGTGTATCGTGTTATTTTCATTTGCTCTTAAGTGTGTCGTTGCTTGAAAAGGTTGAAAAACATACACAGATCCTAACTTGTATTTTCATTGGAATAATTTAGGCACGTTGGGATTATGTTTATTTGTGCCGCAGTCAAATTATTTAATGGCCCTTTGAATTTATTTAAATGTCCGGAGAGACACAAATAAAAGAAGCAAATGAAAGAATTAACACTAATGCTTAACAGTAGGCTAATAAACAATGTTTAATACATCATATCTACTAGACATCGATATTTTTCTTAATACTTACTAGTGAACTTTTCTCCCTATATTCTACAATACTTCTGTTATAACCATTCGTGTCTGTGGGCTTATTGCGTCTGGTATTACATTCGATGTTTTACACTTAGTCCACTGATTCGGTCAGTTATTGCAACACATCAACATTACTGTCTGATTCGCCAAAGGATGGATTTTGATGGATTTTGATGGATTTTGATGCATTTCGAATCGTTATGTTGAAGAACACATGTTCATACGATATATAAGTATACTAGCTTAAAAGCCGCTCTATACAGCGGCATTTAAGCGAGCTTCCTGTGGAGGGCTCTTGATTGGGCCTTCGGCTTGTTCAGGAGTTTAAGAGACCCTAAGTTTTGCATATTCTCAGCATTGGAAGCTCTCCTAGGTGCCGTTTGATCCGCGTCTTCATTTGCCCGGGACATTATTTTCCCCGCTACAGCTTTGGTTCTTTTGATTGCAGTCTGGCCCTTTGTTGGCGGAGATTTCTTTTTGAGAGGTATACTGCTGCTGTATGCGATAGGCAACAATAAACTACAGAAGAACTCAAAATTGATTGCTGCATTGATATGTTGGGGTATGGCCTCTAGGAGTAAAGTTGAAAAAGTGTGACACATTGACATTCGCATTTATTTATATAGATAACGTTATCCAACAGTTATCGAATACTCTTAAACATTATCAATGTTATTGTCAGGATAGTGGAAATTCTATTGATGCTATCCAGCTTTTATATTTTCAAAATATTTTCAAATTCGGCATTGAACATCTGAGCATTATAATAACGTAAAGCACGGTGGAGAGGTATAACAGTCAAGTTCTTCATTGAGCTAAGTGCATCATCAGTTGTTGAATATCTTTAAAATAATTCTTCTCAAACTGAAAAAGATCTTATATAGTTATGGGATTTGGGAGTTTAGGGATAGACTTCAGTAATCTAAAGCCTGTTTTTATGTTTTCTAGTATACGCGTATTGTTTATGTCAGTGGAATTGTCGACACTTAGCGAAATATGATTATTAATATGAGCACGAATTGTGTTTTCATCGAACAGATGGAACCTACAGGATAGGATAGTTGTGTGCCCAATATATTTTATTCCAATGTATTTGATGATTGTGTATCATAGATGTAGTCTATGTACCCAAAAAGAAGAAAATTTGTCAATTATATCAGTAAGTTATTTTCTCAGTTATTCATATTTGGGACAAAATGGCGTTGTAAATATTTGTGCACATTTCAAAGATGCAACTTCAGCACAATTACTTAAATTTACATAAGTAAGATTTTCACCCTAATGTCCGATGATAAGGTAAATTTTACGCTCGTTACAATTAATTTTTATATTTAAAGAAAATATTTCCCTTATTTATTAATAAATGAAGCGTTAAAGTTTATTTTGAGAAGTGTAAATGGTAATGTTGCTTATGACAGAATGTTACTAAAAGAAAAAGTTATAATTATATATAAATTATTTCAGTCAAAATGTAATCCATTAAAAAAGCAGAATAGTTATTTAAATTATACATATATTATGCTTAAAAATTACATGAAAATAAATACAATTTTACAGTTAGTGCATTCATGTCCATAATTTATATATATCCAAAACACACAAACGTACACGCCCCATATATATATATATATATATATATATATATATATATATATATATGTGTGTGTGTGTGTGTGTGTGTGTGTGTTTATTCATCCAGACACACACACACACACACATATATATATATATATATATATATATATATATATATATATATATGTATGTATGTATGTAAACTTTGAAGTTAACATCAATATTTACTTCAAAATTATCATCTGTTATGGTCGATTAGAAATTATAATTCGTATTTTAGGATCTCACAATAGATTTTACTAGAAAATTTAATGTTTGTTATATAATTTGCATAAGTGTCGATTTTACGTGGTGCAAATTTCTCAAATGCTGGTCAGGTAAATGTTGAGTTTTCATAAATTCATTCTATCGGTGCAGTTGGATGCATATAGCTTCACGATTGCTAATTTTTCATTCTTCAAATCAAAAACATATCACGCAGTGAAACAAGCATATTGTTTTTCATTCAATAAAAAACGTGTCACATATTGACACAAACTGGCTAAACTAATAAAATGCTCATTACTTAACATTATTTATTAATCTCATTATTTGAGAGTCTAAATGAATCATTTAAGTATTTATGTATCGATGAAGTGAACGCACCACATTATAATTATTTTATCCGTCATAATGAAAATCTAGAGAAATAAGAAAAGCTCAAAATGCCAAAGAAGGGAGAATTGTGGAAATGATAAGGTTGTAGAAACAAATAAATCTTCGAAAATAAAAGTAGATTTTCCAAAACAAAGGGCGAAGGAATAGTGGAATAATCTAGAGGACAAAGGTTACGATGGATGAAAAAGCAGTGAAAAGTTAAAGGTAACGAGTTGGAAGCAGGAAGAGGCAAAAGCAGTCAGGAAGGGGAATAGTAAGAGTTGGTGGGGGGGAGAAAAACAGAAGTAAAAAAATACTGGAAGCTTGAACAATAAAAAAGCAAAATGTCAAAAAAATGAAGAGCAAAATCTAGAAAGAAAATCTGTCTGTAAGAATTAACTGTGAATGCTGGGATAAGAGAAAAAAAATTGGGGTAGAGGTAGGGTCTAAAAATAAAGACAATGAGAAAGAAAGTAGAGTTGGAGAGTAAAGCTAGGAAGATGGAAGAGGAGGTCATAAAAAGCGAAAGAGAGCGAATTAAGAAATAAAAACAAGCGACGTAAGAAGGAAAGGGAGAAGAACAAAGCTTAGCAGAGGTGAAGAGCCAGGGATTTGTAATGAGATCGGAAGAGACAGCAGTTGGAGGAATTGGGGATGGGTGAAAACCAAAGGTGTGAAAAAAGTTGCCAATTCTGAAGGTAAAGGAGATATGGGAGCCATTGAAAAAGAAGTGGGAGAAAAGAAAAGAAATGTGGAATGAAAAGCGGAATTCGAATAAATGAAGTGCTTCTGACTACAAGACAGGAATCAAAATAGAAAGAGTGACAAATGCGGGAAAGGAAATGATGGAGAAAGATGAGGCAAAAAAAAACAAAAAAACAAAAACAAAAACATGAGCGACTTGGCGGGAACGGCAGGAAAAATACTAGAGAGGCAAAACAAAAGCCGAAGGAAAAAACGATAGTTGGAAAAGGAAAGATGGAAAGTGAAAGAAAATAAAATGTGAAAAAAAAAAAGAAGAAATGGTAAGAAAACAAAAGAATCGCGAATGGAAAATAAGAGAAAATAAATAAATAAGAAGATAAAAATGCTAACGAAATCCTAACTGCAGGAGTTGTTGGATTCTTGGAGAAGGTTTCTGAAAATCACTTCTGGAATTAGTGAGCGGATAATAATTATATCTTGGAACTTTCCCTTAACAACAAATTGAATCAGTGCTGAATTATAGGCGCGTTAAACAACCAATTTTTTCCATTAATAAGAACAAAGTTAAAAGAATTGATGAAATACCCACGGAAACAAAGACACTAGAGCTTTGAATTTAATTTTCACAAAAGAATTAAATGCTTCTTGAATAAAATCTAAAGTTTCAATGTTGTTATTTCTTTGCAACTGATTTGTTTAAGCCATCTTGTTTTCAAATCCCTCTTTGATAAATTCTCTTTATTCAATGACACTTGAACACAAATCATTTTATTTTACGTAATAAATGTGTATATTTTACAGCTTATCTTCAATTATGAACAAACTGGTTAAAGTTTTATTGAATGGCGACACATTGAAAAGTTATTACGCACTCGAAAAAGAACCAGTAAATTCCAATGTTTCTATCGATATCAAGTCAAAAACTTCTACTTTTTTAAAAAGTTGAAATAATTATAACCCAACTAATTAAGTATAATAGAAAGAAATATCATTTAAAAAGATGCTAACAAGTTCAGACATACCTAGAATAACATCCCACCGATATTTGAGAGAAAAATACTATAACTGTACTATGCTTCTTATTTTTCAGTATATATGAGGAGGCGCTGAAAGGTTTTTCGCCCCTCCCCAAGCACTTCTTAAAATCTTGCCAAATGACTAGTACATCAGAATTATTTTTAATCTCTTCGTGCTTGAGCCGAAAATTCTTTTAGAAGTTCCACGTGTAAAGGCATTTAATGTATATAAAGACAATAAAATATTTCTCATTTTATAAAAATACAAAAAGTTATCATTTTATCTGATCTGTAATGTTTTAGAGCGTTATTTGATTTTCTCTGTTTGTTTTCTTTACTATTTAAGAGATATTGATCCAAGAGTATTTGCATCTTTTAAGAAATTAAATTAAATATTTTAAATAAACAAAACATAGTCTACTAAAAGAATTTTTTAATGAATTTTTTCATACCTGATTAAAATAGAATGCTACAAGAATCTAGTTTGTGTTATAAAAAAGACAACAACCTGAGTGATCACAGAAGATGAAAACATACTCATTTGAATACTATTAAATAGAAGCTGGTTTGTCCTATCCTGCATGGAGAAAGAGGTACCTAGGCTAACCTTTTATGGAATAAGGTTAAAATAATAGACAGAGATATACACGGCAAATAAGATTGGCGATGTATGCTCTGCTCAGAAATCTCAATAAGCAAACCGACATTAAGTTTAACCAGTGAGAAAATATGTAGAAAGCAAGCAAAACAACGAAATATAAGTTCGGCGAAGAAGTACATGAAAACTGATTTATCAACAGTCATTTTAATGATGAATATAGAGCTACATTGGATGAGCCTTAGATCTGGGTTAGAAGTTGCCATGGAAATAGTCAAGCATTGTGATTTAGATGAGAACAAGGAGGAGATCGAGAAATTTTTTGAGCAATAAGTAGGTTTGTAACATTATACATTAAGGAAGGTTTCAAGATAAATACAGAGAATATAAAGTTTTGAACAATAATCTTTTTAATGATATAAGTCACAACCAAGAAGTGTATATTCATGCAAGACAGTGTGGATTCACATTCTGCAAATCTGACTGTTGTTCACCATCCCTTAAGTTTCAGAAATACCAAATTAAAGGAACAGTCTCCAATCTCCCCATATATTAATTCAATAGGAAAAGTATGGTTCATTAAAAAATGCATATGAGAAAAGAAAGCAAAATTCAAGCAAAAATGTCTGTAAAGCAAAATAAAACGCTATTTACTATTTGTAAATAGCGCTAAATTCGTGAGAATAAACTGATGAAGGTTATAGAATGTTCAGGAACCTATATTAATTTTTCAACTAATCAATTATTAATAATTTCGTCAGGTGTATAGGATACTTTGTTAAACAAATATATGGTTCACTTGCCTATATCTTTTTTATTATATTTGCAAATAAAAATTTATTTTGCACTTTGTTTACATAACCTCTGACATCCTCAAAGGAATTTATTACCAGTAGTTTTAATAAAGGTTAGATATTATGAGATGAAATTTACACTATCTATTATATAAATATCAGTATATCTTGGACATTTAATAACATAATTAAAATAAATATATAATGTATATATAAATTGAAGTGAATATCTTGATGAGATTATAGACGTGTAAAGTCTTCGCCTGAATACGCGATGATGTCTGGCGTCATTGTATCGTTTTATCTATCTTGACAAATTTTAAAGCTGTCCGTGACTGAGATGCTTCTTCGTTATGGCTAAAGGGTGTTTAGTGTGGTTTAAAATATATCCCATACATGTTTAATGCGATTTAAACCGTGCACAGTGGACAGCCGAGGACCTGAAAGTCATCCGAGTGTTCCTAGAATCGGCTTTGCCTCATTCGCACTCGATACGTGGTGTGATGAAATAATCCATCACTCCCTGAACATGAAGAGTATAAAGGGAGCAAAATTGTTTGCAACAAGATACGTGGATACCACATCTGTCAAGATGGACTCCAGTTTCACTAGGGGTCCTTGCGAACTTCAACGAAATATATTTTAACCTATTACAGACCAACCATAAGCTTGCAGAACATCATAATAACAGATTGGATCCATAACCTCATGCTGCATGAACTCTGCCTGAAAGAGGAAAAAACATGATTCACCTTGTCCAGGCAACACTGCGCCAGTCGTTCACGATCCTATAGCAATGTTCTCTAACTCAGATGACGTACAGTACTTGACGCTGATGGCACCTTTGTTGGTCAATGACTACGAAATCTCATGGAATGCAGTGCACGTTGTACAGGGCAATCTTTGATGGGCTGAGTGACACCAGTATTGAATTGGACTGCGGCTTCATGCAGTGTTACCCTCAGTTGGATGCGTTCCTGTTCCTGTTCCTGCTTCACCTGTGGGAGTCCAGTATTCGCATATTCTTTGTGTACCCTCGCTCCTGTTGCTTACATCAAAACTTAATGTAATTGACACCCATAGATAGAACGCTCTGTCTTTCTGACTCCGACAATCATTCTGTGGCCAAACTGTATTGAATCCTGTTCCCCTTTCATGATTACCACAAATACACTACACTACTTAATATCACATTAACACCCGGCTAAGTTGATTTCTATAAGTGGGGATGAGCAAAACCATCTACTGTACTACTGTCTCTAATTTTCTGACGTTTCAGTTGATAGATAGATAGATAGATAGATAGATAGATAGATAGATAGATAGATAGATAGATAGATAGATAGATATTGAGGTCTATTAGCTTGTCTATATTTACCACGGCCCGTTCTATTTGCGTTGGTGAAACGATTAGGGGCGAATAAATGTTCAAATGTTGCTATATACCATAGCATTTTTACTCTGTAAAATTATTTCTTATTTTTAAAAAATAGCATAAAAGTTATTTTAGATGAAAATTAGTTGTGCATACTGGCTATCGAAATATATATTGTTAAGTAGCATGTTAATGAATGTAAAAAGTAATGACATAAAGAACTAGGGTTATATAGAATGTATTCACATATTTATACGTAGTCTTATCAGGTGTGTCCAACTCCTTTTCTTTTATCTATCACGGGATTGTCCTCCATTTTCTTTCTGCAATCTTTGGTATGTTTGCCCGAGGATTGTTTTGAAAATCTTCTTTCTCCTTATTCTAGATCCTAGATTTTTTTATCTCCCTAGAAACAAGATTTAGACGTCGACTGAATCAGTTCTTTTCAGAGTAACATTGATTAATTTAACAAAAAGATTCCACTGCAATTGACTACAAGACAGTCACCAGACTGTAAAAAACTGAATACGTAAATAGGCAATTCTTTTACTGAAATATTTAATAAAACGGTTACCTGCTGATTCTGATGATTCATTTTTTTAAATGCCAAGCCCCTTCAGAACGCAGGCAATCATGGCTCACCATAGATTCGTTTTCTTTATTATCTGGCAATTGCCATGATTTCTTAGGAAAGACAGTGGAGTGGTATCCGGTTACTTTCTTCTCTTAACTGGTTGCCATACAAGGCTAGAGAGTCCAATCTACCTCGATAGCTGGGGGAAAGGGTCGAGGGCATTTGTGCGAAGGCGCTCGAATATGAACTCAACTCCCCGATTCCCATTTCCGTGTCGGTATCAGTTCCACTATTCGTATATTGATGATCGTATTAATGAAACCTTTTTTAATTTTTCTAATGAACGTAAAAATTCTTTTTAGTATATAATAGTGGAGTACTTCATTGTCATCGAATGGGGAGGTTGTTTAATCGGTGCAGGAGGCAGTCTAGGTTGCCTGAGTAAACCAATTTAATCTGCAGCGTAATATCGACGCATATTCCTAAGTATATAAGTTTTGTGTATTTAGGCAGCAAATGCTCTTTTAGACAAACATTATTAAAAACGACAGGCATTTTGTGTCAGTTAATTTTAATGATCGATTTTTCAAGTTACGAATAATCCTTCTGAACAAGGAGTAAATTCCGTCAAAAATTCCCTGAAGTTCAGCTCAGAAGAAACGTACATGGAATATAGAAAATTTCTAACGGAATTTCCTTTGTCTGAGAAAGATTATTCATAACTTCGAAAAGTCGATCATTAAACTTAATCGGCACAAAATGCCCGTCGTTTTTAATAGTATTTGCCTTAAAATCTATAAGTGGTACATTTTGATTTTCTACCAATTTGTATAGCACTGTACCATAGGAAAACGTGTTTTTAATATGTATTTTTTAAATTTATTAAGTGATAATACGATTATGGTTCACTGCAGCAATAGTAACTTCTCGTTGGTATTCCGATAAGGATACGCATTAATCTCGCTGTTGTTTGTACTTACAATGGATTTAGGAAATATGTAATTGTTCTAAAATCATTAGCAATGACAGATTATCTGTTAGATAACAAACTTTCACTAATACTAACACCAACCAGAAAACCTGATACATGACGCTTTCTATCTCGTCTGGAAATGATAGCATCTTGGACTAAAGTAAAAGTTAACATCATCAGTTATACGAAAGATCTTTTTCGTATTTATTGGATATGCATTATCATATTAAGGTTGACCTGGTCAAAATAATTCACACTACACGGCCGACTGAAAATATGTGAGTATTAATTCGATCTCTTATACCGAAAGTTGTGCCAATTGCAAGCGTATGAGTTGTCTCTGGAGAATGACTGGAATTTATAGCAGAAAAGGAATGTCCCTAGACAATAAATTTGGATACTCCAGCATTGCTGATCAATGTTTTGATTGAGAAATTAAACGCAGATTGCATTTGATAGTGCAGAAATCGGAAAACCCAGTGGAACTGTCACTGGACGTCAATATAAGAAATAAAATCCTGTACTGTTGGTATAAAAAGATAATGTTGTGCCTTGTTGAAATAATCAGAATAACTCTGACAAATCGAAGGTGGCACAGTGGCTTGGGGATAATGTGTGAAAGGTGTGGTTTTTTAATTAATATCCAGTAGACGAAAAATGTTAACTGTGACGAATGTGAGTGTAATGTACCGTGGCAGTTATAATTATGATTCAAATAGGAAGCTCTCACTACCATACAATGATATTTTTTAGAAGAATAATTTCAAGTTTACGACATAAAAAAATTGATTTCATCTTATGTAAACGTTTTGAGATGACTTTACAATACCTCTGCTAGTATTCTGATTATCTAACTCAAATGCTGGATGTGTGCTATTATGTCCTGCTCCACCTTAATTGAGGACACTGTGAGGTGTTGTGAGGTATGTCCTGCTCCACCTTAATTGAGGACACTGTGAGGTGTTGTGAGGTATGTCCTGCTCCACCTTAATTGAGGACACTGTGAGGTGTTGTGAGGTATTGCGCTGGTGTGTTCTGCTCGAACTGGTTCCGTGCAATGTTTTCCCAAAAGGATTTTTTTGGTTTTTTTACGCGACGTCACTAGATATTGTAATATGGGCTAATGAGGTAGAAGTAATTATTCTCATTACTTCCAAACTAAATTTCTGTACACAAACAAGAAAAATACAAGAACTTATTGTCAAAGTAATGTCTAAGAGTTTTAGAACATCTTTGTGCAGATCAATCTTCGTAGAATTTGTTCTTGTTTCATGTATGAATTCAAGTGGATAGTTAGAAATCCCGCAGGAATTAAAATCCATCAACGAGTTAAGTGAAACTGTTCAAGTTGTTTCAGTTTGGTTTTAGTGTTTATATGACCAGAGGAAGTGCAATGGCTGCGAGGAAGTTTTCATCTATGCAGTTGTGCTTTGGTATCATCGACTGGGTAGTGACATTCATACTGTTTTCATTTAACGTAGAAATATCTTGCTACCTCAAAACTATAAAGCTAGAACAAGTGAAACACTTTACACCTGCATTACTTTAAGGTGTCATAATATCAGAGGATGATTTGATATAAAATCCAAAGAGCCGCAACGGACCATGTCATTTCTCTTTTACAGAGAGTAAAATGGTAGTATTTCCCTTCACATCATGAAAGAAAAATGTTAACGTTAGAATAAAAGCCAATTTGCTAGATCTTTACAAGCATTTCCTTCAAATATAGACTTTAATCTGCTTTTGAATATATCTTCCCAGAAGTCTTGTTGTTATATGTACTGGAAAAAAGAGAATGTCACGAAAGTGGTTCAGTGACATTTACATTTTTCTTTTGTTATCAAGATGAACTGTCCACATATTAGTCTTTCAGAAGTGAGAAGTAAAACTGGAAAACGGTTAAATGTAGACGGATATAAGGTAAATGATTTATAGAGAAACATATTGTAAGGACATTCACTTTATGAGGTATTGTTCGCTCTATAAACGATGTATGTCAGTATCACCGTGTTATTTCCATTGAGTAACATATATCCGTATGTCTTTGTAGTTAGGTTTCTTTTTCAATTTTTTTTTTTTTTACTACTGTGAAAAATTATTGCAGAATTTATTTTATTCTACAGTTTAGTAATTTTGTTTATGTGTTTTATTTGTTTGAAATTGTTATTCTCCATTATTTTTTTATGTATTTGAAGTTTTTTATTTATTTTGTTCTTATTAGTATTGTATTGTTGGATTTTGAGATTGATAGTGGAGTGGTTTCCCGTCGCTTTCTCCAATGTGATATAATTTCTAATCTCTAGTTAACTGGCCGTTGGCTGGTCAAAAGTTATTCCGTTCTTTGATATGTCTTATTTTTTATTCTACAGGCTTGCTTACCTCCCACCTCATTCGCAAAAGATTGAAGTGGGAAGGCCGGTTAGTCACTGAGAATCCGATAAAAGATTTCATGTATATATACGTTTCAAATTAAACTAATTTCTAAATATTTTTTTCAGAAATTCAAAATAACCTGTTACCTTGACTTTTTGAGTTAATAGTGAGAGAAGAAAAAAAAACAATATTCAGATTAGAAGAGTCAAAATGTTGGTGACGTTGGGTTTAAGCAAGTACGAAAATATAAATACCTAGGTAATGGTTTAACAGAGGACGGAAAATGTGACTCCGAAATCTGAAGGTGCATTTGCATATCGAAAGATGCCTTCCTAAGCAAAATATTAAAAAACAGGAAAATTTCGTTAGAAACAAAAAAGAGTGCTGAAGTGTTATGCAAAATCGGTGTCCCCCTATATTCCTAAGTGAATGCTGGAAAAATCTCCTCACAGATGAAGTAGAGAACTAAAGCAATAGAAACATAGTTCTACATAAGAATGCTGAGAATACCATGGACTAAAGTTTTATGGAAAATCGAAAGAAACAGGACACAATTATCAGAAAGACACAATTGAAATTACTAGGGGACATAATTAGGAAAGAGGGCTTAGAGAATTTGATACTCAGAGGACATATTGAAAGCAAGAGAGACAGAGGAAAGCAGTAAATAACCTACCTTACGTTGATCAGAAGACAAACCTACAAAAGACGGGAAGTTGTGGAGAGCCATGATTAGCTACGTCGTGAAGGGACATAACTTATAGAAGAAGAAATGTTGGGGTAAAAGTCAAGAGGATAAAACTAATTGTTCAATATACTTCGTGCTGGTTTTTCTTTTTATGGTCAATATATGCAATAAATTTGTTATAACGATATATAATTTTGTATAATTTTATATATGAACAAACAGTATTTAGAAAAATATGGCAAACTGTAAAAGTTTTTCTGACGCGTTTTATCCGTAAGGATTTCATCGGACTGGGCTTTTTTGAAGTTGCCACGTCTACACATGCACAGGAAAAGAGAACCGCAGGTAGTGTCAAAATTTTTGAAAGAATATTTTTTTCAATCTAGCCAAATCCATCTGTATTCTTTTTCTTTTTAAATAAATAATATATACTAAACCCACTGCATGCATTGATTTTTCTACAACCACGCT